TAATGACTCTTCTGGAGTTGCTAACTTTTCTGGGACTAGGACATCTATACTTTTAACTTCTTTTTTCTTTCGAGGATTTTTATTTTTAGAACCGATAGGCCTGCCATGCTTCATGTGTGATTTAAAATCATTCACAATTGGTTGTCTATTAAGGAAATGAATTTTGATAGGAGCATTAGCAGTTGGAATATGTGACTTTATTACTTTCTTAGGGTCAATGAATAAGTCTGGCAATTGATTAACTAAACTTTGTAAATAAATTATCTTTTGAACTTCTAGTTCACATGCTTTTGTCTGAGGATCAAGATGAGATACTGATAATTAACTGCTTATTTTCTCCCCTTATTGTTAAGATAACTAACTCATCAAAATGATAATCAGCAAATCAAGTCGTGAACAAATCTCCTGGTGGCAATTCTAGACACTTTATTATAGTAGAAGATTCATATCCAACATGTATTCTCATCCTTCTTTGAAGACCCGTCTTGGTATGTTGTAGTGGAGCAATTAGAATATATACATCACATCTAAAGGTTCTTAGATAGGAAATATTAGGTTCCTTACCAAAAACTAATTGTAAAGCCAGGGATTTGAGATAGCTTATTGGCGTAATGCAAATTAACATTGCTGCATGCAAAATTGTATATCCCAAAGCAAAAACTGAGAGATTTGATCTCATAAATAATAGTCTCGCAATTAATTTTAAAAGTTTGATCAATGATTCTGCAAGTCCATTTTGTGCATGCACATGAGCCATGGGATGTTCAACACCAATTCTAAGAAACATACAATAATCATTGAAAGCTTGGGAAGTAAATTTATCAGTATTATCAAGACATAGTTTTGTGATGGAAAAATCAGGAAAAGGCGCTTTTAATCTAATTAATTGAGCCAATAATCTTGGGAATGCCAAGTTGGGCAAAGATAATAAACAGACATGTAACCATCTTGTTGATGCATCAATCAAAACTATAAAATATCAAAATGGTCTGCATGGTAAGTGTATCAGTCCGCAAATATCTCCCAGTGTGTGTTCTAGAAAAGTGAGAGGCTCACTTTCTAGTTTTCTTGGTGATGGCTAAATAATTAACTTTCCCTTGAAGCATGCATCACATGAGAAAACATTTGATTATGGTATTTGTTGACTTTTCAATGAATCTCTACATGAATTCTCAATTATCTTTTGCATCATAATTGTCTCGAAATAGCCTAATTGGTTGTGCCAAACATTAAATTTGTTATCATTTGTAAACCCCTGGTTTACAATGGCATGTACTTCAATTATAGTAATAAACTTTGGCCAAAAAAATTGTACTAATAAACATATAGTATAAGCTAAAAAAAATGCAGGCAATCTTTCTAGTATGCATTTTTTACTAGAGATTGACTTTGTGATATTAAGATATTTTTTATTTTTCTTAATTGTTGTTTTTGAACATCCAAATACAGTATGAATATTGGCATCTTGCATTACCAAATAAGAGAAATATTTCTCATTCCTAAGTATTGTGTGCATTGTTACACTATCACCGAGACAAATCTTCATGATTGATGTGAATAGGACCATTTTTCATCAAAGAAAACATAGCAATTGGCAAAAGAAGAAAAGAAAAAGATTAATCATTTAGTATTAATTTGGTAAGAACAAGTGTGTGTGACTAATTAATCATTTAATAAACTCTACTGAGGCTGAAATAATAAAATCAAGTCAAAATGATTGGATTAGCTCAAACATGCAACCACAGTATGGCTGTCTGTCCTTTTTTTGAGAAATTTTGGCTAAAACTATGGATTGATGCTCTTTTTTTTTTTTTAGAGAAAATATTAAAGCAAAAGAAGAAGAGAGAAGAAGGAAAATATATAAAATTGATGAAAAGAAAATACTTATAACTTTTATTAATTTGAGAAAATAACAACATTGAAAGTAGAAACTTTATTAAGATACGAGAAATGAAAACACACTAAAGCATAAAAATTTAACAAACACACTTCATCATATAAATTGAACTCTACTAAGATAGATTTATTCCTAAACGATATTCCCATCACCAATTAGGTGGTCAGTTCTTCTATTAGGATTAGCAATATCTAAATGAGTGATATCTATGTTGCCGTAATCAGAATTACCCTCTTCATCGACAAAATTTGTTTCTATCTTTAGCATTTTGCCATTATTCTTATTTTATTTTTAAGAAATTCTTGATAAATGTCAACCAAATGTTTTGGCGTATAACACGTACATTCCCAATGATCATTGCCACTATAGTGATAACATGAATTTTCAACATGATTAACGTTCCCACTAGTTTTTTTTTTTTGTAATTCTCATTATTCTTTGTTCTCTTCAAGTGGAGATTTGAACCCTGAATTTAATCACATCTATGTTCATGGCTAGGTCCACAACTATGGCTAGGCCATCATGACCATGACCATGTCTATATCCATGTCCACGTGTATGACTACGACCCCTTGTATATTCATTTGCTACCACATTCACTTCTGGGAATTGAGTAGAACTAGTTGGATGAGATTCATGATTTTTCTTTAAGAGTTTGTTATTTTGCTCGACCACAAGAAGACAAGAAATTAATTGAGAATATCTCTTAAACCGTTTTTCATAGGACTATTGTTGTAGTAACATATTAGATGCATGAAATATGGGGAATATTTTCTCTAACATATCTTCATCAGTAGCTTTTTCTTCACATAATTTCAGTTGAGAACTGATTCTAAATATTGCAAAGTTATACTCACTGACAGATTTAAAATCTTGCGAACGTAAGTGCATCTAGTCATAATAAGCTTTTGGTAGAATAACTATTTTCTAGTGGTCATATCTCTTTTTCAGGGTCTTTTATAATCAAATATTTTGTTTTTAGTGCCTCATGTAAGTGGTGACATAAAAATATCATGGCTTTAGCTTTATCTTGAGTGGATGTTTGATTGCAATCTTTGATTGTGTCTCTGAGGCTATTGGCATTCGAATGAATTTTCATATCTAGTATCTAAGATAAGTAATTCTTTCTAGAAATATCAAGAGCCACAAACTCAAGCTTAGCAAGATTTGACATAATAATACTATCATAAAAAGAAATTAATATTAGGGAAAAACTGAATACATCATATATAGACTTCATATATAATTTAAAATAATATATATATATATATATAAAGGTAATGACTTATGAGAATCATGAAGAGAAAATAAATTAAAAGAAAGAAGAGGAGATAGAGAATCATGAAATAAGAAGATGATAAAGCATTGTACCTTTGGTAGAGTCTCGTAGTGATAATGTGTTATAAAATAAAAGGCACAATATAGAAGAATTGAATCATTAAATCAGATTGATAGTTATCATTATTTTCCCCTTTTCTTTCCCAATTTTCCCTTTCCCTGCTCTATTTTCTCCCCCTATCTCTTCTTTTCTTCGTCAGATCTCTTCTCTTTCTTATTCTCTCTTCCTGTTTTAAATCAAGAATTTAACATAATAAACACAAAAACTTGATGCAAGTATTATCAATTTTTAAATACAAATGCTTAAAATATGTACATGAGGAAAATCAACAAAAATATGTACCTAAGAAAAATCAACAAAAATATGTACATGAGAAAAATCAACATACATTTTTTTCTATAAATAACTAACTTAAATAATATTTTAATTTTTATAAATTATTTATTTAGTTCATAGGTTTAAGATTGGATGGATAATACTACCTCCAATCCTAATTATAAGATATCGTTTATAGTTTACAAATGAGGTTTTATAATTAGAACTAGAAGTAGTATATTTCTATGCATTTTGAAGGGAAGAAATTAAACCTATGTATAGTAGAATACTCATGTGTACGTGTGTGTGTATAGATTGACAAATCAATAAAATAATTACTACCTCCGGTCCTAATTATAAGAGCCAGTTGACTAATTTGAGGAGATTAAGGAAGTGAGTTGAGTTAGTTATTTGTTCTAAATAGGTATTATCTTTCCTAAAATATCCTTGCTAGTCAAGTGTATTGACTAGAACTATCATAATTAGAAGGGCTACTTTGGAAAAAAAATGTGTAAATATGAGAGACAAAGTGGATTAGGGTATTATATTTAAGACCAAAATAAAAGTTAAACAGGATCTTATATTAAGGATCGGAGATAGCACGGGAAAGAGAAACAAAAGGGGATCTGATTCTGTTTCGTATTGTACTAGTACTACTTTCTTTGCGACACAAACGTGGAGGAGTTTTAGTGCGCATCATCACTAACAATACTCTGAAATTAACATATTTGATTCCACAGAAATTAATCTTTTTACAATGATCGCCGTTGTAATCAGAAACGTGGCTGATGTCTCTAATTTCCATTGTAATCAGAAGATCTGGGACTAACATGATCGCCGTAGGCCGGGAAGCGAGCTCAGGTTTTGATGAACCCGTTAATTTGCGTGAAATAATACCAGAGCTTTGTGAGAATGTTTGCCAAAATTTAACGTTCTGATGATTATTTCATTTGAATTTTTGTCTTTTTGTTTTTTGTTTTTTCCCCCCTCCTTCTTCCTGCGTTTTGATCTTTGTGCGGACGTCAACAACAGAAATCCAGAGACAGTTGAAGGGAAAAGGTCGTTAACGAGCACTGGGATATTGGTGGGGGGGCCCACCAGTTTTTCTCAAAAAAATTTTTCTTCTGGTTCTCGCCCCTCCGATCCCTTTGAACGTTGAATCACTCATTCCTTTTGCACGTTTCAACGAGACATGCTTCCTCCTAAAAAATCAGATAGCACATTTTCACGTCATTATCATTTCTCCATTTCTCCCTTCTTTTTCGTCTTAAATCAATTTAACTTTATATGACTGAACGAGTTCTGTTTTTTGTTTCGTTTATATTTTCTCTTCCAGAGACCCTTTCCGTCTCGCATAATCAGGCCAAGGATTAGTTCACAATCTCTGTGTGTTTCTTGTCTTCAAAGCAAAAATTGGTTGTGGTCGACGGAGAGGCAAAGGGAAGCATCATGTCTATGTCGGATTCCGAATCCTCGTCTTATGGCCGCGACTACAAAAATTTCAGACAAGTCACTCGTGAACGTAAGCCCCTTGCCGCATTATTTTTTCTTCGTCTCATTCTAATTGTCATGATAATTTTTGATTCATACGTTTGTCTCTGATCAATTTGGAAGCCCCACGATTTTGAATATCTAGAATGTGGCTAAGAATTGTTATTCTTTCTTCTCTTCTTAGCACAAATGCATACAAAAATGTTCCAGGAAACTCTCGAACTAAATTCATTCATTGATGGCAAAATCTAGAGTTAATCATGCCAAATATTCTGAACCATAGGATGCATTCAGGGTGTCATCCAAGTAACCTTAGAAGCGAAGAAGATGAAAAACAGGGCCCTTTGGGAATGTGACCCTCCAACCTGGGTTATGCCAAACACTGTCGAAAGATTTCCTAGAATAGTAAGACTATCAAAAAGGCCTAGAATTTGAGTAACTAAACGTTGGACCTGCTGAACCCATGTTAGTAAGGTTAAGGAATTGCAATCATCAAGAACTGCTTAAAATTTTAGTTGTGTATATATAGTTCTCATTTGTGACTATTTGATGCTTGTTGATCCCTCCTTCTAGGGCCGAACACTCTAGTACAAATGGTCATTTGGATTCTGCAAGCAAATAATCATTATCGTTTCATGCTTTCCGAAGTCTTGATTTTGTTACTCGATACCTTAGGTGGGCTGTCTTAGTACTTTTCTGGTGAATGTTGAATCTTGCAGTTGTTTTGGGGCACTTCCCCAAATGTCAATTCTTCGATTTTAGGAGGATTATAAAAGGCAAAGGCTCTTTCGTGATATGCAATATATGTTATTATTTGCTGCTAATGCTTGGAGAAAAAATGCTGGACCTTTCACGGATTTCTTCTTGCTGTGGCCTCTTTAATGGACAAATTGGGCTTCCAATCTCTTTATGGACTTCACCGAATTATTTAGTAGAGGGGTCCACGGGTTCATTAATTTATAAGTCTTCCTTGTTCGCTTGGGCTTTTCTGTTCTTTTACATTCCTTTTTTTTTTTTTTTGGGTTTCTTTTAGGGGGATCTCTTTCCTCCTCTCTGGTGCTTCTTCGCTTTTCTTCTCTCATGCTACTTTTTCCTTTACGAAAAACCCATATAAATGAATATAAAGAAGGAAAATAGAAGCTGACAGAACATAATTCAAAGTGTCATTATATGTTCTTTAGACAATTTGGAGCCAAATCTATTCCTGTTTGACACGTGTATTTCTTTACTACAAGTATATCCCTCCCCTCATTCAAATAAATTTTAAATACTTGAGTGTTTACCTCTGGTAAGCTGTTAATATGTTAGCTTTTTCAGGTATAGCATCCTTTCTTTTGTGCCGTTTCAAAATTTTAATAGCCTGTGATTGTAGAAAATATTAGGCCTTGACCATATACTTTCTCATCAGATACTTTATTTGATTTCTCTTTAAACTGAAATTCTCTCCAGGATTGTTATATGAAATGCTCAGGTCATCAAAGAAGGGAGATTCAGAATCAACATGGAAGGTATTTGATGCCACTTGTTTTCTTAAGGAATTCAGCCTTGATGTTTGTAAATTTTTTCTGGCCGTCTGTTCAGATTATTTGCAGCTACTATTCTAGGAAGTATAGCACATTATACCAAGTTCCTTGGACATACACGAGACAGATTTAACGATTATTTTAGCAGATAATTTCTGTGTGAAGAGCTCTTTTCAATCATGGGATCTAACCACTATCCACTGCATGTCACAGAGCGTTAGCTTTCATTTTGGATGAGATTGTTATGGGATTTCTGTGATTTGTCTCCAGTTGTTTATAAAATATTAAGGCAGAGCCCAGTTCATTAAGTCCGGCGTATTTATATATTTGGAATCTCGGATATATATAATTGATGAATGCTTGAGGATACTGGTAAAGTTGAAAGAAAAATAACGATCAAGAACCCCTGGATATGGAAACAAATTGGCCGATAGATCAGGAGATTGATACGTCATTAACCTTTGTGAAAGTTTTTGGAAATTCGACAAGGTCATGGTGGTGGGCAGTTCATTCACTCCTTCGTGTCATTTGGTTGGAGCGAGATGCTAGGAATATTCTTTAAATAAGGATTTCGCTATGGAGAGCTTGATCTCCTTGGAAGTCAGGACTCTTCACCTTGGATCACTAGAGATTTTTTTATATGTATGGTACTAAAAATTAGTTTGTACAGATCTTTAAGGGTCTTTTCTTATGTGCTTCGAATTGGAGATATATCTTAGCATGTAAACGCAAACTGTTACATAACGCTCATGGGGGTATAGCATAAGAAATCGCTAGATAATGTTAAAGCAAACTGAATTGGAACTGAGCATAAATATACTGTACATCTCAATGAGGGGTGGAAGGTAATAAAAACACGAGTAAGCGTAAAGTTGAAATTTGTTTTGATTATTATAATCCTAAATGTCCAACGGTTTCCTGTTTGCAGGTACTAATCATGGACAAACTCACTGTAAAGATAATGTCTCACTCATGCAAGATGGCTGATATCACAGATGAAGGTGTTTCATGTAAGAATCACCAAATTGATTTCTGAGGAGTTCTCTTTATATCCCAGGAAATCAAATTCATGCCATTGAATTCTTTCCCTGATTTTTGTTATTTCTGTGTCATAATGTTTGACTTTAATTTATTCTGTAATGTTCAAACAAAAAAGTGAAGTGATTTATACTCTTAAAAAGTTCACATGGATATATACAACAAAATATAATATGTCTGTTAACCATGGATGTCAACATATTCAGGTGCACAAATAATTCTGCTTCTACTATATTACAATATATAGTTTTGCTGTTCTTCTGTAGTGGTTGAAGATTTGTACAAACGAAGGCAGTCATTCCCAACCATGGATGCAATATATTTCATGCAGCCAACCAAAGAGAAGTAATTTATCCTCCCTCTTCTCTTGGTCGTATGTCTGTGTGTTGTGTATTTTTAAAACACACGCATAGAGATGCATGCATTATTAATTATGATTAACTTTTGACCAAGTTGTAAACTGTGTTATAACTTCAGGCCAAAATAAAAAATTGTAATATCTGGTAGTCTTTCTTGGTTGCTTTTGCATGCTTCATTTAGTTCTGCCGGTACAATTAAAATAGTGGGGCCCAGAGACATGGTTTGGCTGTTTGACAAAATTTCGTATTACGCATGCATAGAGGTATCTATAAACAAAAAATTTACAAATCAGATTTTTTTTTTTGTTTTTCAATTTTATTTTGAGAGCTATGATTTGTTCTAAGTTTTATTGCATAGCTTCTTTCCCAAATAATTTCCTTATCATTTTATTTTCAAGAACATATTTTTTTCAAAAATGAAAAAAAAAACCTTATTTTTCTACCAAAAAAAGTCATTGTGAAATACATTCACTTCTTTTATTTAGTAGGAATTGTTTTATTTTGATTTTTCTTGTATATTATCCTTTCACACATTGTCCACCTGTCTCTCTTCTAAATATATGTGAACATGTCAATTGTTAGAGATGGAAAATATGCTAAACTCTTATGGCTTAGATTTTCATTTAGTTTTGAAGGAGTAGCTCATTTAGCTGTCATTTTTACAGAACTGGTGGATAAATTCTTGATTTTCTCTGTTCGCAGTGTTATTATATTTTTGTCAGACATGTCTGGAAAGGCACCCTTATACAGGAAGTAAGTGATGACCAATTTATCATCTTGAATCTTCAATCTATCGATTTCAAGCTGTGTTTTATTCTGGGTTCTTGTAGGGCATTTGTTTTCTTCAGTTCACCTATTTCAAAAGACTTGATAATGAACATTAAGAAAGATACAATGGTGTTGCCTCGCATAAGTGCCCTGAGAGAGGTTAGGATTATTTGTTTACAATTTACAAGCTCAATTTCCCTTGCACTGATCATGTTTTCCAAAAAAAAAAAATTCCATATTTTTCTTATGGTGAAATTTCTCTCTTTTGGATGACATTAAACAGATGAATTTGGAGTATTTTGCCATAGATAGCCAGGTACTTGAGTGTTCTTTATTTTTCTTTTTGCATGTCATACACTTCACGTTTGTATAATATGAATATAAATTTTTGTTCCCCCTTTATTTACCATTACTCTATTGTCCTCACTTTGAGGTGTGTGATTTTGATATGTTAATGCAGGGTTTCGTCACAAACAATGATAGAGCCTTAGAGGATCTGTTTGGAAATGAGGAGAATAATCATAGAGGTGATGCATGTCTGAATGAGATGGCTACTCGGATTTCTACAGTTTTTGCTTCATTAAGAGTACGTAGTTAGTATTTTTTTTTTTTTTTTTGGGTAAGAAAAAAATAACAAATATAAATAATAATTGTACTCAATGCTCATTAAAAGTCGAAGCATGTAATAGAGAAGTTTTCTGAAGCACATAAAAATATTTTTCTAGGAATTCCCTTTCGTTCGCTACCGCGCTGCCAAGTCCCTAGATGCAACCACAATGACTACTTTCCGTGATCTGATTCCCACAAAGCTTGCTGCTGGTGTCTGGGATGGCGTGGTGAAATATAAAAAAACTATACCTAACTTCCCTCAGACGGAGACTTGCCAGTTACTCATCCTTGACAGATCAATTGATCAGGTTTCTGAAATCCACAAGTTGATGAAAGACTCGTTATATTCTTCCAATGCTATCATCTCATAACGAGTATAATACTCTGGGCTTGTAGATTGCTCCTGTAATACATGAATGGACGTATGATGCCCTTTGCCATGATTTACTGAATTTGGACGGAAATAAGTATGTTCATGAGGTAGTATTATACTCATCCTATTGCATTTTTCTCAGAACTTTTGTACTCGTTTTTCTTTTTCTTTTTGGGATATAAAGATGGAATGCACTTTACTAGGTTCCTGGTAAGAATGGAGGTGCACCCGAGAAGAAAGAGGTTCTTTTGGAAGACCATGATCCCATATGGCTTGAGCTTCGCCATGCACATATTGCAGATGTATGTAGAGTTGTTCTGTTTCTAACTTAACCATCATGAATAATACCTTTTGATATATGGCCTTGTCAGGCTAGTGAACGTTTGCACGAGAAAATGACCAACTTCGTTTCAAAGAATAAAGCTGCACAAATCCAACATGGTTCCAGGTAAGTTATCAATGGGACATTGATGCTGAGCAATAACGTTAGTCAACATCAGAAAGAGGGCCTTTTCTTCAAATTTCTTTTAGAGCTCTATTATTCAAGGATATGGGCCATTTTGGAAAGGCAGATAGTACTTACTTGTCACTGTTTAGTAACCATGAAGTATTTAATAATTAATAATGAAGTCACTTGTGCTGCTGCATAATATGACTGAGTCTTTGATTTGCAAAGGCATGCACGTTCTCTCATTTAGATTATTAGGTAATTTCTCAATTATTTAGGCCCAGATCTGGAAATGATGCAAATGTTGATTTATTTATTTACAGAGATAATATTATGAGAGATTGACTTAAATGGTATTTCATTTACAGAGATACTGGTGACATGTCATTGCATGACTTACAGAAGATGGTTGAAGCACTTCCGAAATACAGTGAACAAGTGGACAAACTTTCCCTCCACGTAGAAGTTAGTGGGTCACATTGAAAACCTTTTTTTTTTTAATGATTGTGTGATACACTTTGTACAAATATATGGGAAGAACTGCAATAATGTCCCATGGAAAAACATATTCACAAAAAAATCCCAATAACAAGTGAGCAGCTGAAACCTATTGCTATTTCATGTACTGAAAAATTATGATTCATGCTGATTCATGACCAGATAAATAGAGCATTGGGGCTTAGATTAAATTCAGTAAGTTTGTTGCTTCTCTTTTAAGGAATTGATTTTGGACATGTTTAAGAGCATGTCGAAGAATTGTAAGAATGACTGAAGCAGCGTATTATGGGACCGCAGCTTTACAAAATAACGGGTTTTTCTTTTGTGGATGCAGATTGCAGGAAAAATCAACAGAATTATTAGGGCATTGGGACTTCGGGAACTTGGGCAGATGGAGCAAGATCTAGTTTTTGGAGATGCTGGAACAAAAGATGTCATTAAATTTTTAGCTGAAAACCAGGTAAGAAAAAATGAAAGATCCTTATAGCTATTAAAGACGAGATACAAGTTGCGAAAGACAACTTCTGCATATCATTTATATGAAAAGTAAGTACTATCTTTATGCAGGATAGGACTTGCGAAAATAAGTTGCGCTTGTTAATGATTCTTGCAGTCATCTATCCTGAGAAATTTGAAGGTGAAAAGGGTCTTAATCTGATGAAGGTGTGGTTTCTCTGCTACTGTGTGCAAAAACTAATGATATGGTTGGTAATGGCGTAAATGCGCAGGTGAAAAATGAGAAACTGTATTAATAAGCAACTAGGTGTGTGTTTGGGGCGCGTTAACGTGGTTTTTTTATTGCAATAAAGAACATGCACTAAATCTAGCCACATGCCATTTCCACTCCAATAAAGCATTGTTCATTTATGATGACAAGGAATGAATTTGCTGTTACTGATGTGACACCGTTGCTGGTATTATGCAATGTTAACCCTTTCAAATGCGTTTCCTTTTAGGTCGCAGGATTAACAAGTGAGGATATGACTGCTGTGAATAATTTGAAATTGCTAGGGACACAACTGGAAGCCACAGAAAGTTCAACTGGTTCTTTCTCTTTCAAGTTTGATATCCACAGGGCAAAGGTACTTTCTAGTTTATATATATGTAATTTTCTCAATATCACGTTTATCTCTGAAAGTTATCTATTTAAGTTGTCAGAAGAAGAAGAAGCGTGCAGCTAGGATAGACCGACCTGGTGAAACAGAGACGTGGCAGCTATCACGGTTTTACCCCATAGTAGAGGTAAAAATCAAGTTGATTTACTATCATATAGCATTAACACATCGGTATATTTAACTCTTACTTTTGCAAATATGATTGTTATGATCCAGTTGGAGCTAATATTGACTTTTAGAGCCTCATATTTGATAAGTAGATGAATCATTTACGAGCTGATTTGATGTCATCACTCAGGTGCTTGTAGAAAAGCTAAGCAAAAATGAGTTGTCAAAAGAAGATTATCCGTGTCTGAATGAGCCAAGTCCAACATTCCACAATACACCTTTTAGCCAAGACCAACCTGCACACTCTATGAGATCAAGACGCACACCATCTTGGGGTCGATCTCGAGGCTCTGACGATGGATATTCAAGGTTCTATTCCTTTTTCCTATATTTTGCATATTCCAAGTAATGTGATAATTACTTCTAATTACACCAGTTTTAGTTTCTTCTTTCCGCTTCAACTTTCCTCGCTTCTTGCTTGCCACGCTCTGTCACACAAGCCTGCTTTGGCGGCGCACCTCTTATTCATTTAATCTTCATTTGTGGCCAGCGATTCAGCACTCAGGCGTTTATCCAGCGATTTCAGCAAAATGGGGCAGCGTATTTTTGTATTCATTGTTGGTGGAGCCACAAGATCCGAGGTTTGACCTGTGATTTTCCTGACCAGTTTACAATCTCTACCTTGTTTCAGTTACTCTGGCCTAAGCCATTGTTTTAATCTCCAGCTTAGGGCTTGCCACAAGCTTACTGGTAAGCTGCAGCGGGAAGTTGTTCTGGGGTCGTCAAGTATTGATGATCCCGCGCAGTTCATTATGGTATTAAAGATTTCAACTTTCTTTTTTAAAGTTGATCGCGTTTTGCTAAACAAGGAATTGCAATGTGTCATAATCATCCGTACATGCTAATTTCCTTGTGTAGAAATTAAAGACCCGATCAGAACTCTCAGTAGATGATCTTGAGATATGATGTTGCTGACTTGGGAATTGGAAGATAAGCTCAATGATATCTATCATGAACCTATGGTTCAGCCAAACCACTGAATCTTAATCCAGCAATTAGAGCCATTTTAATTCAAATCCAGTGTAGTTTGTATGCTAAGACCTCATTTTGTAATTTGTACAGCTGAAAAATCGCTTAAGGTCTGAATCTTGTATCTTCAATCCTTTTTTCATTAAAATTCCAGCGTAATCAGTATATCATTACATATATAAATTAATGAAAGCCATGAAAAGTGTGGTTCTGAGATCTTGTTTTTAATATGAGCAGTTATTACTAATTAAAACACTTTTTTTTTCATGTTGACATGATTCTGAACTGGTTAAGATAATTGATACTTATCTCACATCAAACCATTGTTAGACATGAGATGAAACTTAAAAAAAACAAAAAAAGGGAACTGTTCTTGAAAACCATTGCAGGCTTAACTGAGATAATAAAATGATTCAAACTTGAATACCCACTTTAAGGATTTATCATATTTCTCTAAATCTTGTGCACTTTTTTTTAACTCTAATTATAGCCTCTAATTCATTACAAAATATGTTAGCAAATGCTAAACAAACTTCTCCACTTCAGTGTAACTTGATCACTTGTATGACAACTTTCTTCACATTTATGCAACAGTGTCCTTCATTCAGTTTGTTCCATTTCTGGCTATTCCTGTGGTACCATTCCATTGATAAAATATAGAAATACCCAGAAAGAAGAATCATGAATTTCTAACTTGGAACCATTCCAAATAAGCTCGTGAATAGAAACTTGAACAAGAAAACAGTCAAAAGTTGTTTTGTTTTTGTCTGTAGTGGTTTCTGTCCCTTTGGCAGAGCTTCAATAATAGACAGAAGATGCTCAGGCTTTCCGCAAGTTCTGTTTACAAACACTGTCAGTGGCACGATTAGTGCCTTAACTATTGGAGATTTTCACATATTTCAGTTAAACCACAAATTTTAACAGCCACCTAGCCAATAAAAACCAGAATGATCTGTCAATAAGACATGTATAATATATATCAGAAACTTACTTATTTAATAAACTCCATGGTTGATTTCCCCGCATTCTGCACCAAACACTCCTGTTCATAACTCTGTCAACTTCTGGGAAATAGCAATAGGAAGCAATTGTGTGTGTGTGTGTGTGTGTAATAATATAAAGATAATAATATAAAGAAAGGAAGAAAGAAAGTGGTTGATCAATTATGCTATGTTCGCCCCCACAAAACCACCAAAAGCAAAACTCAAAAACACAATCCACTGCCTCCCATTACAAAAAAAAATGAGAAGCCCCACAAATCATTCTGTATAGGATTGCAAGTCCTTTTCTCAGAGGCTTTTTAATCATTAAGGGCAATGAATTCCAGATGAAAGCATCCCTCAAGCTACAAAATTTACCAGATCTGACTAGCACAAAATAAATTGTCAAATTAAAACAACCACACAACTTTGTTCTTTGCCAGAATCAGCCTCCATTATAAATGAAATACCAGATATTAGAATTTAGATCACTTGATTTCAGTAATTTAGAAGAATGATCTTCACTAATTCCTCGATAATATATATATATGCCCATTTAGAAACAAGAAAAACATGAGATCACTACTTAAGAATGTGCCATTTAGTTACTAGTGTTCTGGTGCATAAATTATCAGAAATAATTAATTTTGTTGATGGTTTACAAATAATATATAGGGTTAACGTATAAATTGGCCCAGAAGTTTTCACTCAAAAGCACTAGGTATCTTTGAAAAAAAAAAATTGGAACAAAATTTACTCTGAAAGTTCAAAATCATAGTAATATTGCCCCCTACTGTTGAAAATGTTAACCATTAACAGTACTATTTTAACAGTCAATGTTAGTTTTTTTATTATAGGAGGTGATGTTGCTACGATTTTAAACTTTTAAGGCAAATTTGCTCTCAAAAAAACTTTTGGATGCTCAAAACTCATAAGTGAGACTTCAGGGACAAATTTGCATCTTAACCCAGTAATACTACCTCTTGTCCTTAATATAAGCTTTAGTTAACTAATTTGGAGAGATTAAGAAAGTTAAAGAACTCTTTTAAAGTATTTATATTTATCATTTTTTTCAAACTACTTTACCTAAGTTATAAACTGATATATAATCTAATGATACATATAAGTATTTCTAAGAGATTAAGTAACGTATGCTATAATTAAGTAATTTTTTAACTTTCTTAATCTCTTCAAATTATTAGTCAACTAGGTCTTATATTAATGACCTAAGATAGCAGATATTAATGGCTTGGTCTCCCAGATAAATTTCTGTTTGCAACATATATGAACATGTGATGTGCGTGTGATTCATCTTCAATCCATTGTCTATTTTTCCCCCCTTTGATGTTCGGCATTGACTAATCTTTGTCATTATTAGTGGCCAACAAATTCTAATAATTACACTAATATTAAGTGAAGGATCACGAACTTTATCGAACTCTGAAGTAACGAAGCTTTTGAAAATTGCTCAACTTTTCAAACTAGTTCCATATGATACAAGTTTTAGAAGCAAAATTTTAAGTGGTTGAAAATAGAACGCTACAATTTTATCCATGGATACCATTAAAAGTTAGGAATGAAATTATTTTCTTGAATTATAATTTATAAAATTGATTTTGAGTATATAACTAAAAAGTTGAAGGGGAAAAAGATAGTAAATTGGATTCTAATTATAATTAATGAAGAGCCAAAATAATGATTTTCTTAAAAAATATTGAAGCACCCATACTTAAAAAACCCATAGTTTTGACACTTATAATTGATTATAAGAGCCATCCAGAAAATAAAATTCCTTTTTGAATCAACTTTAAATTAGGTTCATATATCCTAACTTTTTTTTTTTTGGGTCAAAAACTATCTTAACATGTAATACATGCCAAAATAAATTATGTACCTATAACTTTTCAATTTTATATTTGATTTTGGCATGTAGGTCTTAAAAAGCTAGAAATCTCGGAAGCCTTTTAAATTGCATAGGCAACTAGAAAAATTATAACTTCGAATTAATTAAGAAGATTATTATTTGCATGTGACTTAAAGTTAAAAGGGTGATCTATTAAAAAATAATGTTCAAGAAGATATAAAGTCAATGATATACAATATTCCATTAGTAAATAATATAATAACTTACAATATATAGAAGAGTTATTTAACGGGTCTTTGAATTAGCTTTTCAGAAGTAATTTTATACTATAGATAGGGACTTTGTCTTAACTTGCATGAAAATATTTCTGAGAAGCTGAAATAAACACCCATTTACATAAATTTAGAAGCTTGTTTTTTAACATGTTTTAAACGTGTTGTTTGCTCATAGCTCATATCTGAAAGTTTCAAGAAATAATTTTGCATAAATTAGTTAAAAGATATTTTAAAATATGATTAAAATAAATGATGTTTGAAACCGAGTTCAAATGGGTACCATGTAATTATTTCAAAGCTAACAAGACCATTTTATGACTCAGAAACCCCATATAATTATGTGCCATTGATTTATTTATAAAAAAAAATTGTTATAAATTTCCTAGTCTTCCTTCTCACTATATATATAAGCAATAATTGGACGAGAAAGAGCCATTTTTGAAAGTCAACATCATCATCTTCATGATTAATTCATTCAGAAGAAGAGCACATATATGGTGTAGGAGTAGCTTTCATTAATTTCATTTCATCTCATGACTTGAATCGTAATTAAGAATGATTAAACTAATAAAATATATGCATGAAAGCTTGCACTTATCCTAATTCATCATTCTCTTGTTTATTATTTTAATTTTGTCCCTTTCTGCCCTCAATCAATTGCATTTGTGTGTGTGTGGATGTATCCTTCAAAAGTTCATTGAGATTTCACACATTTTATTTTTTAAAAAAAAAAATTGGTTTTTATCATTTTTTTATTCAAAAGTATTTGTTACTCAACATGTTTTTATTGTCATTTTAAAAATGAAATGATAATTTTGTATTGGAGCTTGACATGCACTATTTTTATCAGAAGATTCTAGTTAACAAGTGAATATATACCATTATCCGAACATATAAAGAAAGAAATAAATGGTTTGGTAAAGAAAGAAATAATTGGATACTTTTTCTTAATTAAAAAAAACAAAGAAGAAGAAATGCTACTAAAAATATTCTTTTTATAATATAGTGAGGTAACTAATGGTAAAGCATGAAGAATAACATTTTACCGTTTAGTTTTCATACGAAATTGTTGTGATTGTCATACAACCTTTACATCATTACATAGTTTTAATTTCAGTCAAACCAAAACAAAAGGTTTTTTGTGTGTGTGGGTAGACACTAAACTTATTTATTTAATTAAACTTCTTATAATTAATTACTAATATGTAAAAGTGTCTATATTTACATGTTTAATTCATTCAATTAAATTCTTAACAAAGCAGGCATTAAATTATTGATTACTACTATTATATATGCACCCAGCACGTGAGAGAGACAGGAAAATCTTTTCTTATAAATGGTCAAACTGCTTTCAAATGTACTCAACTAGATCTTAAAAAATTCCTCAACCAAGACATTAAAAAAAAATAAAGAAAGAAAGGTACACATATTATAACAAGTAGTTTAATGAAGATAATTTATTGATTAAGTTTGAGGAACCACGCATAATGTAAGCTTTGAAATATAATTAAAATAATACTCCTCCGGTCCTTATTATAAGACCCAATTTGACTTTTTATTTGGTCCTAATTATAAGACCCAATCTATTTTCTCTCTTATATTTATGCATTTTTTTCCAAGATAATCCTTCTAATAATGATAGTTTTAGCTAATAGATTTAATTAGCAAGGATATTTTAGGAATAACAACACTTATTTATTATAAATAACCAACTTAACTTACTTCCTTAATCTCCTCAAATAAGTCAATTGGGTCTTATAATTAGGACCGGAGGAGTATATCAGTATGTAACACTTTTCTGCTGTGAACTTGAATTTCGTTAAAAAGTGTTAAAAGGAACAATGATTCTAACTATAGAAGTTGAAACTATACAATAATATAATTTCGTCTATATATATAGGGCATATATTAATTTCCTCTATATGGACAAAGTGACAATAGTGTGCTATTAAAGTCAATTTGTGGTAGTGGAAATTGGAAAACACA